GTTTGAGACGTCCCAGAGGGCACGTCTCCATCACAGACGCCCCAGAGGGCACGTCTTCACATAGTGAAGAATATTAAGGCTCGCTCGTTTTTTTCTCTCTCTCGCACGCACCAGGGGCCTATCTGACGTAAGCTGACTCTGGATGCAGTGGCCTACATAAAGTAGAGTCACTGGGTGGAAACAAGCCTTAAGGCGAACATGACGACAGGTTTACACCCAGCTCTACTTAATTCTCATATTGTTTCGTATTGTACCGCGACTGTTAGTATATTAGCCGGACCAAATACTAGCAACGTTTGGAGGCTTTCCTAAGGCGTCGAGCCTAGCCGAATGTCTTCGTTCGTTAGTTCTGACCGCATTCAGGTGATGACTGTCCACGCGAGATGACCTTAACCTCTGGAGAGGAAACAGATGCACGCGCTTGCTCGCGGACGCCACTGGTCGCAGTTGTCCCAACGCGCCAATCAGGCTACAGGTGAACGCGCACTAGACACTCTGTTATAAGACACTGTCCGTCTGACACAGGGAGAGTTGCAACAGCGGACGCGAGGCGACGCCAGTCCGCTCCCAATGTCGGGGCTTGCCCCCAGGCTGGACAAAGAGCGCGCTGGAGATCAACCAGCGGCAACGGCCACCCGAGACAGCTCCTCCGAGTGGATTCCAGAATCATGCCCTTCTTATTGTGTTCTTCCTTGGGGATTTCAAAGGGGCGTAATTCGACGGCGACACACGTCAGACCTCATCGTTATAACACTAGCGACAACTCTAACAAATGCTTAAAACTGCATATTGACTTTAAAACTGACATGGTTACTTTTCATGAATGGGATCGTCAGAGGCATTTCTTGCCTGTTACCCTTCACCCTACATTTTGAGAACAACCACCCAATTTCTCACAAAATTTGTTCTCCCAACAGCCTCCTAAATTGAGGCTCTAATAAAGGAAGTTACCAAGCAGAAATAAAATACCTGTTACAACTATTCTCCAAAAATAAATATCCACGAAACTTTGTGCGTCAGTGCATGAAACGACAGAAATCCAAAAAAGGGATTTAAAATGATAATCTCACCCAGGCTTCCAAAAAATGACCTGGCGAACACTCTCATACGTGAAAAATGTGTCCGTGCTTATCGAAAGACAATTAAGAAAATGATAGATACAAATGGCACGCCAGCCCGCAACCACCTTACGCTCACAGCTTGTACATCCTAAGGACAGGGTTGGCTATCTTCAAAAAAGAGGTGTCGTCTACAAGATCCCGTGTGTTGGGAGGGTGGGGCGGGAGACAACCAGAGTGCGGATCTGGCGTGGCCCGCAGTCACTTAGCAGCATGCACTCATTGCAAACAAAGCCATTTTTTATTATTATTATTCTGGTAGATAAATCAATTTTCCTTTTTCACGTGGATAAAAGTTAACACTGTATAAATAAGTTGAAATTTATTTGTGGTAGACTATACATCTAAATGGCGACAGTAAAAATAACGCAACAGGACTACCAATGGCCAATTTATGTTTGATAAATAAATCAAAATATTGAAATATGGGTTGCGCTATATAGATGATACATTTGTCATCATCAGGAAGAATGACTTAGACTTCATTCACAAAAAGCTCAATTCCACATTCCCAAAAATTGAATTTACATTCAAAACGGAGGTTGACGGACAACTGCCATTTCTAGATAAGCTTGTACATCGAACTACCAATGGATCACTCCGTACATCTGTTTACCGCAAATAAATATATTCGGAAGTCATCCTACATTTTGGAAGCAACCACCCAGTCTCTCACAAAAGAAGTTCTGTCTATAGCTTCATCAATCGAACTAAAACACACTGCTCTGTTGACGAAAGTTACCAAGAAGAAATGAAATACCCTTTTCAATTTTTCTCCAAAATAGATATCCACGAAATTTCGTGTTTTAGTGTATAAGACGACAAGAACCCAAAAGAAAAGAAAAGGGCATTTCAAATGGTATGGCCAACGAGGTACCGAAAACACTAAGCTAGTGATCTCTCTCATACGTAAAAAAAATATCTGAGCTCGTCGAAGGGCAACTAAGAAAACACCAGATACAAGTGGCAGACCAACCCGCAATCACCTTACGATCACAGCATGTACACCTCAAGGACAGGGTTGGCTATCTTAAAAGAAAAGGAATTGTCAACAAGATCCCGTGTTCCAGTTGTGATGCTGTTTATTGTGGCCAAACTGGGAAATACCCCTCAACCCGCATACACCAACATCAATCAGCAGTCAGAAGACGAGACAACTTATCCCAGATGGTCATGCACACATCAGAAATCGGTCACAAATTCGCGTGGGAGAACACGCGGATTTTTGGCACTTGCCCAAAAGAAAAGGCTGTGAATGCCTGGAAGCAACGCACTTACATGAGGCATGCATCAACGGGCATATTGATTTGGACGCGAGCTATAATAACCTCAAGGCCAAAGTTAAACGCGCGCGTGCGGCAAACCACGGCAGGATGACGAAATGTATGTAAAGCCTATTGGTGCAGAATTCCGCTAATTGTATAATAATTTGTTGGACACGGTTAATTAAGTTAACTGTTCCTGTACACATCCCATTGTCTGACGACGCGTTGGGGGACCAGTCTGGAAAATGTTTGCAGTAAAGATTCAAGTTTCCCAAAAAGCCTTTCCCTTCTTAAATATGCGTGTGCATATACATACCGAAAAGATTTTGCAGAAAGCTTCCTCCGTTCCAAGGCTACGGGCAGCCGCCAGCAGAGTCGTATCCGTGCGGGGCTCCAGGGCCAAGGTCAGCCAACTGCGATGCCTGGAGTCGACAAACAGGGTGACAGGGTTCGTCTGATGACTACTGCAGAGGCTCTCGTCAATTTCCGGGCACCAGATGCC